GAGGGCTGGTGAAGCTCGGGGCCACCGGCGAGGGCTCTCACTTTGGGTTGATGCACCACTCTCTGAAAAACGGCACTGAACACGTGAATGGAGGGAAAAACGACGCTGAACAGAGGTGAGTGCCATTGCCGCTATCATGAGTTTGAGTTTTTTCTCCTCATCGGGCACCATTGTCGCTGCACATATTTTGGCGCTGCACAGCTTCAGACGCATACAACGATGGAGATACTTTCGGTAGTAGTGGAGGAGATGAGGATGGGTTACGATGGCTGCCGTGGCTGGTGCGAACGTCATCACTGTTGCGTTGGTTATCTTCTTCGCCCCGACTTTTGCCTCCTTGAGCCTGCTCGTCGATGTTCGTGATGTGGGCACAATTTTGGGCTCACTTTTGGTAGTTCGTTGGGCGAGATTGATCTGAGTTCGTCAAAATTTTGGATGTTTTCGTTGGTTCGATTGAGAGATTAATGAATGTGATGACCCTCCTTGGAGGCCGCCACTATAGCTGAAATTAACTTGTACTTACTGGGATTTCTTAAAATTCGCGGAACATTTTTTTTTTTTTTTAAAATATAAGAAGGAATAATTTCATAACTTGTAACAATAATTTCAAAAGAATGAATCACTAAATTTCTTAAAGCTTTTCTTAATTTCAACTAAGATAAAACCTTCTAGAAATATCATTCAAACTGAGCAGCGTTTGAACTCTTGTTTCAAATACTCTTTAAAAGTCTTTCTAAAACTAACCAATTCAATCGGGCCATCTAATTTGATTTTAAAACGGATTTCGTGAGAAATCTTAAATTCAAGTACATCTTAAAGTCCTTTTAAAATCAATCATTTAAATCGTCATGTTTAAAATTCATTTATTTGTTGCATGCACTATTGCAACGTTCTAAAACTTAAATACTCAAGTCTAGGGTTGTTAGCTACAACCTCCATTTTCTTAACATACATATGTACATATACTTTCAAACATACATGCTTGAAACCTTTGAATCATATATACATATACATGATTTTACTTAAACTTACTGCGGAAGATTTAAGTGTGAGCGGTATCCATTCCCATCTCCACCATTCGTCCGCCGCTCGCCATTGCCCTTCAAGAATTGCTGATAGGTTTCTTACTTACAACATGAACATATCTGATTGAGCTTTCGCTTAGCAAGTAGGAACTATCTCTCACAAAATAATTGTAAGTACACATGAATAAATATGCATGAGCTGATTATGCTTAATTATGATGTCTTATCATAGTTTTATTATCTTATCTTATCTTTCTTATTGATGGGCATGAGTGCTCGTACTACTTGCACGCAATCATCGGGACGTGAGGGTTTGTAAGGTCCTCCATGACACCGTGATTATAACTGAACTGAATGCCTCCCTCTCAGAGGACATTATTATTTTTTTTTCTTCTCCCTTGGGAGCCTGAGTCACCTCCCTCTCAGAGGCTAGTATGGCACTCAATTGAGATTATTTTTATAAGTTCTTCTTGACTTATTAAGGTGTATGAAATATGACATAGCATAGCATACTATAACATGTAATGTACTCAAACACATATAATTAGTGTGCACTACTTAAGTGTATGCAGCATGACATAGCATCGCATACAATATTGAAAGCATAAACATGCATATATAACATGTGTAACTTTTTCTTTAAAATCTATTCATACTATAGGCGAGATTCCTACTTACTTGATTTACAGTGCTGGAATCCACTTTTCACCAAACATCCTATTCTCTTACTTGCTTACTTCTGAAAATGAACACCCATTGAGAGTGTGAGATTATCTATCGTGTGCTACTCTATTTTAGCATCTTATGAAGGAAATCTAGCCCTTTACTTAAGGCATGTATTCCATTCCTTTACTGAAGGATAATTTACTATAAGGATCAATTTATTAAATCCTCAAAATCTTATTTTCCTTAATTGCCCTTAACATACTTATGTTATGTTAAAAATCAATTACCCAATCTAGTAACTTATTCTCCATAATTTACCTAATGGGACTTATTATGCTATTATGGCCCAATTCGGCCTAGAACTTATTTATGGCATTGTAACTCTTAGGCCGTTGAAATTTAAACTAAAACAGGGTCTCTCGAATGAATGCGGGCGTTGGACCGACATCCAATCTCTGAAATCTAAGGACCTATCGTATTGGGCTCGTTGGCGCCCGTCGGGATGATTTGCTTGATAAACCATTAAGTTCTTTAAAAGAAAGCATTTTTTTTTGAAAACTTTCTTTACGAATACTTACGTTAAAACGAGGTTTAACACCATAGTATTTTATTGAAATCACCTCTCGGGTTCTTTGATAACTTTTTGTTAAAAACTAACACTGTGTTAGTTTGTTTTGTTAAAACTGTGCAGTTTCTAAAATCTGTGTTTTACTACATCTTAGGGTCGGATTTTGAAAATCTGTTCTTCACGACAATTTTTTGTCTCGTCGAGATCTAAAACTGAAATTCAGCCTCTAAAGGCCTCGTTTGGCTGAAAACAGTGGCTGCTGTTTTTTTTTTGTTTACCTAGAATGCTGTAGCATTTTAAAAATGCTGTAGGAATGCTGTAGCAATTCTCTTTTTTTTTTTCGAGATTGTGTTGGACAACCTGAACCGTTTTTGTAAAATGGTTTTAAACTTGCTTTTAGAGTTAAGATTGAGTTTTGTTACAATAATAGAAAACGTTCAAAACATCAAGAACTATAAGTTCACGCTTTGAAATGCTGAAAAATCCCGCTCTAGGGTCCTCATTTTCGTGTTCAAAGTAACCAAAAAATTTTACCTCTAACCTTAAAATAGGCAAACTTAAACCAACAATAAGCATACCACATAATGATAATCAAACTAACCTCAAAACTCACAAAACTAACTTAAAACTCACACACCCTTATTACAACTTATTTCCTTGATAATCACAAATTACATCAATGGATTCTCAAACTTAAACTTTACTAGGAAGGAAAATAGAAGAGAAAGGTTTTAGAGTTTATACCATTGAGGAAAGAAAATCCTTGGTTAAACTCCTCCTAGAACACTTTGGTCCTCCTTCTCCCTCTAAGGTTTGTTAATAGAAGAGTATAAGAAAATTTGAAAAGAATATTTCTACATCTCAAACTTTACTAGAACATAGGAAAGAGAGGTTTAGAGTTCATACCCTTGTAGAGATGCTTGATTAGACTCCTCCTAAAACCCTTTGATCTCCTTCTTCTTCTTCTATTTTTTTTTGCTAGTGGCTTAAGGTTAGGAGAATGAGAGAAAATTTTTGAGAGGAAATGGGTGCAGGGTGGCCAATTTTGGTGTGTGGAAAATGAGAGAAAATGTGTAAAATGGCTAACCTAATGCTTGCACTAATGGTCTAACATTTATAGGCCTTGCTTGATCTCTTCTTAGTTCTTAATTAAGCCTATCAAGCTAGCTTAATTAGTTAAATTTTGGGTTAATTCCCCTTACTTTGGGCTGGCCGATTGTGTGCTTCAAGAGGGAAGTGAAGTAAGCATCCTTGTCAAATAGTTGATTTAACTCAATCTCATCATGAAATCCTCTAGCACACTCCATTAGCCAAAATTTGGCTATAATTCCCTAAGCTTGGCCGGCCAAGTGACGAAAGAGAGGGAAAAATGTAACCTACCCCCATCACATCACATCTCATCCAACCAAACTTAACCCACTCTTGTACTTTTATCTCATCTCTTAAGTTTCTCTTGAATTAGATAAAATTATACTGACTGTAAGGAAGTACTTAGCCGACAGGAAATTCTAGTTTCTGACGGTTCCTTTTCTACTGCTTGTTTACAATTCAATGTTAAATCCTCGACTACTTTGATATCCCATTAAACTCTTACTCGCGTAATATCTTGAACTGTTTCAAGTCTTGAAATTAATTCTAGACTGAACAAATTCTAAATTTAACTTTTCTGCATTATATTCCGAGAATGACATTGTTTCTGACGGTGTCAACTCCCGAGCTCACATTATACCCTTCTACTATAGGTATTTATCCTATGACTTTAACCTAGCTGTCTGGCAATTAAGGATTTTCTCTTCTTTTAAGATGTCAGAGCGTTTTTTTATACGCTGCTAGCATCGTGTTGTGCTTGGAGATTCTTGAAATTAAGATTCTCAAATTATATTTGTACTAAAAATTCTTCCGTCTTAGATTGCGGCGATAATTTATCAATCGAATTTACTCGATCGTAAACATGAACTTAACATGAAATCTACTACAGAATTTAGGAATACAGATATTAATTCCATAAATCCTTCAATCACAAATATAACATAATATTTTCTAGGAAAATCCTTGGCTTAAATACATAAATTGTATTATTTAAGGTTTGAAATTTTCTTAGTTATTACAATGAATCTCTTCAAGAAAAACATCAATTGTGGACTGTTATGGCTTTGAAATCAAGGGGTGTCGACCTCAATTCCAAAATCGAGCTTGTTTGGTGAGTGTAGATATGGGTTTGTTCATTGTTTTAGTTAGCTTTATTGTATTCGTATGTTGATAAGTATGAGTGACTGTAATGATGGTGGTGATGAGAAGAATTATGGTGGTGCTTGGAAAATGATGGTGGTGGAAATGGTGAACAGTGGAAGTTGGGTTGATGCTGGTTGTTTGGCCTTCGTGACGGTGGCCGTACTAGTGGTGGTGGTTTGGTGAAGATGATGTTGGGTGATGAATTTGTTTTCTTTTTGGGTATTTTAGTCATTTTAGTGAAAAGGATGGCCACATGATGGGTCAGGTGCATTCTTCCGTTAATTTTTGGACAGATCTTGAAAAAAATGACTAAATTGTACCTATTTTAAAAGGTTGGGAATCAATTTATTAAAAAAATTGAAGACAACTGTCACTTACTAAATAGATCATGGACTATTTGTGCCAATAAGCTTTTTAAATAAATAAACGTAAAAGAAAAGGAAAAAAAATAATCAATAAATTGAACGAGACCATTTTCTTAAATGTTTTATGCGCGGTATTTAGCTAAATTTCTCGTGATATGTACGTCTTGAGGCGAAACAAAGACAGGCTTCGTCTTCACACTGGTTTTTGTCACAGAAAATTCTCAACCATAGCCAATCTTGAGCTTGATGGAACAACAACTTCAGACTACATTACTTGGGTTGGGAAAAGTGCGAACCCAATACCTCTTTTGCATCAAACCTTGCAGAGAAGCGCAAGAACAGGTTCCACCATGGAAGGTAAAGCCTGCCATGCGCAGATTATCACTATTGGCTTGCGAGCAGACACCTTAACGTCAAACATGCTTATTAACATGTATTCGAAATGCGATTTGGTTAGTTGTGCTCGCAAAGTGTTCGACGAAATGCCTGAACGGAGTTTGGTATCGTGGAATACTATGATTGGGTCGCTTACTCGGGATGGGGAGGAGAGAGAAGCTCTTGGTTTGTTTTTGGAGATGCAAAGAGAGGGAAACTCTTTGAGTGAGTTCACTGTTTCGAGTGTTCTTTGCGCTTGTGCCGGGAAATTCGCGATTTTTGAGTGCAAACAGTTGCATGCTTTTGCTATTAAGATGGCAATGGATTCGAATGTTTTTGTGGGTACTGCATTGCTCGATGTTTATGCTAAGTGCGGTTTTATAAAGGAAGCGAGCTTTGTTTTCGAGTGTATGCGGGAAAAGAGTGTTGTTACGTGGAGTTCGATGGCGGCAGGTTATGTGCAGAATACTTGTTACGAGGAAGCTTTGATGTTGTTTGGCAAATCTCGGATTATGGGACTGGAAGTGGATCCTTTTATGATTTCATCTACTGTTTGTGCCTGTGCAGCTCTTGCATCGCTGATTGAAGGGAATCAGGTTCACGCTGTGTTGTGTAAAACAGGATTCGGTTCAAACATATTTGTTGCTTCCTCGCTTGTAGACATGTACGCAAAATGTGGCAGCATTGAAGTAGCCTACGCCGTGTTTCGGTGCATGGAAGAAAGGAATATTGTTCTGTGGAATGCAATGATTTCGGGTTTTGCTAGACATGCTCATTCCCTTGAGGTAATGATATTGTTTGAGAAGATGCAACAGATGGGTATGCTCCCAAATGAAGTAACTTATATTTCTGTGTTGTCTGCGTGCAGTTATATGGGCTTGGTTGAAAAGGGAAGGAAATATTTTGAACTCATGACAACCGAACACAATGTGTCGCCCAATGCCGCGCACTATTCATCCATGGTTGATATTCTCGGGCGGGCAGGGCTGATTGTTGAAGCTCATAATTTGATAGAGACCATGCCATTTGATACTACAGCTTGCATGTGGGGTTCACTCTTGGCTGCCTGTAGAATCCATGGGAATCTTCACTTGGCTGAAATAGCCGCCGAACATTTGTTTGAGTTGGAACCTGATAACGCAGGGAACCACGTTTTGCTTTCAAACATTTATGCAGCAAACAAAAAGTGGGAGGAAGTTGCAAGGACAAGGAAGGTTCTCAAAGACAGCCAGGCGAAGAAGGAGAGGGGTAAAAGTTGGATTGAAATAAAGAACAAGGTTCACTCGTTTATGGTTGGAGAGAGAAATCATCCGAGAATTTCCGAGATTTACTTGAAGCTGGACGATTTGGTTGAAGAGTTGAGGAAGCTAGGATACTTGGCAAACACTGAGGATGACCTGCATAATGTTGAAGAGAGTAGAAAGCGGGAACTATTGAGGCACCATGGCGAGAAGCTTGCGGTTACTTTCGGGCTGATGTGTTTGCCTCCCAATGCTCCTATTAGAATCATGAAGAATCTTAGGATCTGTGGGGATTGTCACTCTTTTATGAAGCTCACATCAAGTTTTACAGGGAGGGAGATCATTGTAAGGGACACAAATCGATTTCACCATTTTAAGAATGGATGTTGTTCTTGCCGGGATTTCTGGTGAAAGTTCTGGTTCATTTTTCTTTTATTATTATCATAGGGAAAG